AAACGTGCTTTTGGGTAATAAGAATTAAATATAGACATATTATAGTAGGTTGGCTTGGGAATTTACTGCACTCGTGATTTAGGGAAAACACTAGCTGGTAGTTACGCAAGGTGAACTATGAAAGACTGTAATAGATATAGTTTAAGTTAGATTTTGGATTGATAGAATGAATTGTTAGAACGTCGGCGGAGTTCGTCGAGAATAAAACTTGGAAAAGAAGATAGTACACAGTCCTCTTTGATTGGTATGGAGTTAACCAGCGACCGCGGAGTCCGCATAGATTCCGCGTCAAACTCAACAGGTTAGGAGCGTCATATGGGTATAATTCTGAAAATTGCCAGAGGTTTTTCAAGGCCGTTAAGCATTTCAACAGAAGCAGTAGTTTCAGATGCCTTGTTACCCTATGGGCCGTTGAGGATTTTTGGTAAATTGGCAACTTCGCTTCTAATACAATTTTCATTCCCGCGCAATAGCTGAAGTGTGTCGCTGAACAGCCCGATCACCGCCAGTTCGCCTGGTACTTTACACGAACTGAGAAGATCAATTTCTTCACAATTAAATTCTCGTCAACAGACATCCCGGTTCTCAGTTTGTTTAAATGATTATTTCCCGAATCCCGCTCCTCAAAATCGCCCATTCCCGTGTCCCGTTCATACCAGGAATCCCACATCTCGCTCCCTTCTATTCCCGGTGCCCGGCCTTTCAATAAACTTCATCTCGGATCCCGAAAAACCTATTGGAGACCCTCAAAAAATACGGAAACCTATACTATTCTGAAACAAAGCCTCAGCATAAAAGGCATTCAATTGTCTGTCCCACATATATCTTTTTTTAATGACCCGCATACGCAATGAAGATGGGGTTATGATGAATATAAAATGGGCTTGCCAGCACAATAATTTACGTCTTGTATTTTAAATGTTGACAGTCATGTATTATACATTTGTAATATGTTATTATGTATAATACTACCGGTATATAATATCACACATTATAAAATGTCTTTAGCAAGACATCTTGTTAAACGATAAAAATAGAACTATATTTAATCTGAAATATTGTAAGGGTTT